GGGGGGGGGTAAAGATTTTGGCTGGATGAACGACTTACAGCGATGTGGATTTGAGGGGAGGGATGGAGGCGAAAATGCGTGTCGTGTGTGAGGCAACCGATTGAGATCGAGAGCCTGGGAGAGAGACGTGGAGGGAAATGGGAAAGTAGTGATGGGAGGTAGAGAGTTGTAGAGAGTAGTTGTATAGTGGAAGGAGGAGAAAGGGGTTGTGCGTGCCGGATGCGGTGAGAGGTGTACGGTGGGTCAAAGTGGAGGTCGATGAGGTAGATGGCCCAAGGGACGGATGGGTCACTGATCACTGAGCAAACGGGAGAACGAGGTGAGCGATTAGTAGACTGCACGTATGCATGCGGGCGATGCAGCTCAAGCGCGGTGCGGCGGTATGGCGGCACATGCCTCAGAGCTATAGAGATCGAAGCGGAACACGACGTGAGCGCTTTAGTGGATGCAGCGGGACATGAGGATGGCCACACTTTGTCTCAGTCAGATCTTGCAACTACCGGAAACCAAGGGGCCAGAGGCTATGTAGAGTTCAGACGTGCGGCGCGCCGCAGCGAGTGGGAGAGAGCTGGCCGAGCTGGAGAGCTCGAGACAAGAACGAGGAGCGCGAGGAGCATGGCATCAAGGCCGATGGAGGTTCTAGCGAGTAGCAGTGCAGGGTCGCCTTCGTTCTACGACTCGAGGACATAAGGGACGCGCTCGACGCAATGCAGGGGCACGAGCCAAGGACTCGGGGGAAGAGCACGTCAGCAAGAGCTAAACATTCCCCAATTGGTTACCACTCCAGACCCAGCAAGGCACAAATGTCGTCATAGCTGCCTCTCCCTGGACGCCCTTGTTCTCTCCTCCTGTGCACTCCCCCAACATCTCAAAGTCACCCAGGCACCCCTTTTCTACGTCGTCCCCCCCCCCCCCCCCTTACCCCGTGCCACCGACGGCCCACACAGACCTCTTAACCCGCCCGCATCGCTCAAACCCGATCCCCAACGCACAAACGTCAGCGCCTGCCTCAGCGATACGGCCTCCTTGCGAATGGCCGCCGACGCTGGGCACTGCGCGACGTAACGAAGGCGGCGACGGCCCGACTCCCTATAAACGAGCAGCGCCGGCTCAACATACCGACGTCACGCAGCGGGTAGATCGGATGCAGTGGCAGTGTGGCACGATGGTGGGCAAATGGGTTTGTTGCAGCAGACTGACACCGCTGCTCAGCCCTTGATAATAGGCATAATGTGGCTGACACACGGGACTCATTCATCCCCTCTCCAGTTGCCGCCACACTCAAACGGTGCCGTGGCGGAGGAAGCTTCGGCGCGCATGGGCGTCTGCTCATGTGCTTGTGCTCGTGCTCGTGCGACGTGTGTCCTCCGGGCCCGACAAGTCGTTCCACTGCCTGGCTCGGCCAGGCGGGCTGGGTCATCGGCACAGCGGGGTGAACGCCGATGTCGGCGCCCGCAGCCCGATGGCGTACCCTAGGACATTTTGAACAGCACCGACCCACCATCCTGAGGCTTACTCGCTAGCCTCGCTGCACCTGAACGCCATGAGGAAGATGACGGGTGTCAGGTTCGGAAGCTTGTCGAATCGCCACCAGACGTTCGTGAGTCTGGATGTGGGGAAACCGTCCAAGAAAGTCGCCGCGACCAAGACGCGTCTAAGTAGTGTGGGACCACGCGCGCTTATCTGCTTGGCCTCGCGGCGCGTGTCCACAGCAACCCACGCATCTCCGGGTACCGACTAAGCGCGTCTAGAGCCAGGTTCTCCGCGCCGCTGGGCGGTGTGGGCGTGCGCATCCGTCCTATTGTCACCTGAATGGCGCGTCCTGCCGGAGTTATGTCTTCTTGTTGTGGTTGTTCGCCTGGTCTCGCAATCCTCGCTGTCGTGAAACCATCTGCTGTCGTCCAGTGTCTGTCGTACAAACCATCCTCCAGCCACCTCCGTCAGCGCCATCGCAGTCACTCGAGTCGTTCGCCTGTTGGGATTCGCCATCGAATGTGATGGCGGGGACAACTCAGCGATGTCATAGCTCGGACGTGGGCGACATACTCTATGGCCTGAGGGACCTGTCAAGGCATGTGAACGAACAGCCGAGGGGACCGCCGACGTTGTAAACCAGGCTGGGCATAAGGAGAAGTAAGCTCACAAGTCGACTATTAGGCGCGCCGTACTCGCCCACACTCCTTACCCCCCCTCGAAGTTCGGTGCCAGTAAGCCCGTCTAGAGTCGAGGGTCACAAAGGTGACTCATGCCTTGCCAGTGAGCAGGTGTCGACACGCAGCGGACAGCCGCCCGATTGAGGATCGTTTGGACCACTGCGCGGGCTTTCGTCCAACGTTCTATGCTTCCTTGACAGGACGTGGCTAGAACGTAGGAGAGATGCCGCAGGCGTAGGCGTCGCTGCAGGGAGGGGGAAGGTGGCACTGGGCTGTGCCAGCCATTTGAAAGCTCGATGCTGTGGAGCGCGGAGGCGAATCGCTGTGTGCGAGGCTTAGAGATTCAGCCGCATACACCCGCACAGGCGCCACGAACTCGAGAATGCTGGGCTGTTGCTCATGCCGAGCCTAGGAGGGCTGTCTGCACCTCGGCGAGGATCGAAGAGAGCGAGGTGACTGGTTCAGACGAGAGCGATGCTCCCGGTGTGGCGCGGCAGCGCGTGTCCGCTATTGCTGCTTTTGTAGACTGTTTTGTAGTGTAAGTGGACTACAGGAAGGAGAGATGTGCTGGAAGGAGAAGGTGCAGGGGGGAGATTTGTGCAGGAGGAAGAGTCGTGCAGGAGAGATGCAGGAGGGTAGGAGACAGTAAGCGTCAGTAGGGGTTGAGGCAGAGCCGCTGGGCTGTGCCATCACAGGTCCCTACCACTGCCTTGAGGCACTTCTTGACAATGCCATGCGATGCGTAAGATTTGTTGGTGAATGAGTTGTGAGTGAGCCAGAATTGTCAACGTGGTTAGCCTACCTCTGCGTATTAGCGAACGAGCCATACAATACATTGTCTACACTTCCTTATGCTCCACGCGCAGGTCACCACGCTTCGGGTCTGGTGTAAGCTCCACCTCACACGCGACTCACAGATGAGGGGGTTCAACTGGCACAGATACGTGCACATCCACATGAGGTAGAGACAAGCGATTGTGAGGACAGCCGAGGAGCGGAAGAGGCTGGGGTTAGTGGGGAGGACGAGAAACTGGGAGGGAAGGCGACACAGGAGACGATGAGACAAGAATTGAGACGACTGGAGGTTTGACGAGACAAGATGGGAAATGGCGCAAGAGCTGTCCTGGACAAGACCACGGCGCTCGCGCTGGCACGCTTCGCGCGATGACGTGGGAGAGCTGGAGGGAGAATGATGGATGGATCTGAAACAACGTTGAAGGAAGTGGTACCCACGTGAGGTTCTTCTTAGGCGCGAGGAACCATGATGCTGCGGCAATGGCAGCGCAGATGATTCCGACGAGGAAGACGTGTCCGACGCCCATGGTGCTGCTGATGGGGGCCGGGGTAGCGGAGAGGGCGACCGGAGAAAGACTGAAGGGGGGGGGGGGGGGGGGGGGGGGGGGGGGGGGGGGGAAAGGCGCGCGGCTAGGGCGAGGAGAGCGGCTGGAGGTGGGGTCTGGATCTCGGCGTCGGCGTAACGAGCACGAGTTGGCGGAGGAGCTTAGATGGAGGAGATGAGTGAGCGACGGGTGATGTTGCCGCAAGTGACGCACCGTGGATGAGCGGGGTCAAATGTCCACGCGGATTACACGTGACCTCAGACACTCGGCGTCGGTGTTCACCGAGCTGCGGCAGACACGTAGAGTTCGGACATTCCGTGCGGGGAAGCCGAAAGACGGAACCCAACACGGCCATTTTGCAGGGCTCCATGCTCCATCCCCCGTTCTACCGGCAATCCATGCGCTTGTCTCACGCAGTACGCAGTCTTCACGCACTAACGCTCATCCTTGGCCTCTGTCTGACCGTCGGCCATCAGGCCATCGCTATCGAGGTCGCCATATACCTTGTTCATAAACTGACGGGGTGTATTCATGCTTCCCCGTCACTTACTCTCTCGCGATGGACGCCGGACCAGCGCCAGCATCATCACCAGCGCCGACGCCCAACGCCCCTGAGGCCCCGGCGCCAAGTTCGCCCGTGCGCCCTCCTCTGGAGCCTGCGGGTCAGTCACCAGAACCCGCGCGTATGCCCGGGTCGCCGGTCACTCGGGGCATGACAGCGGACGACAATTGCAGCGATAGCGCTTCCTCGCGCTCTTCGCTCGACATGGGCGATATCGGCGAGAAAGAGAAGGAAGAGGAGATTCCGCGCTCCGCACACTCTCCGCCCACATTGGACGTTGAGGTCAGCGCGCTCCTCAACCTCCCACCGCCGCCACCATTTGACCTGGACGTCCGCGGCCTGACTGTCGGCGTGCCGAAGCATTCACGACTAGTCAAGTGCGTCTCCCGCTGGCTTTTCTAACCCCAGGCTGCTCCAAGGCGACATCACTGCGCTCAAGGCGTCACCGAAAGACGCGAGCCCGCGCAAGACCACAATTCTCGAAGATGTGTCGTGCGCGTGCTCCAGTGGACAAGTACTGGCCATGTACGTGTCCCATATAATGTCGCTGACGTCAGCCTTGGCGGCAGTGGAAGCGGCAAGACAACATTACTCAACGCCGTTGCCCACCGCCTCAATGATCTGCCTGTCAAGGCGGGCGAGGTCGGCTATGTGCCCTCGTACGGCGGCGCCGCGCTGGGCAAGAACGAGGCGAAGCGCCGCATCGGGTTTGTGCGGCAGCAGGACTTCCTCGTCGAGTGTCTCACTGGTCAGTGACGTCGGTGGAATAAACGCTGATGGCAGTGCGCGAAACACTCACATACGCTGCGCGCCTGCGCCTTCCCACCGACCTCAGACGAGAGGACATCGCACTTATCGTTGAGCAGACGCTCGACGAGCTGGGCCTGCGTGATGCGGCGGATACTGTTGTTGGAGGCCCGCTCCGCAAGGGGATCAGTGGCGGCGAGCGACGCCGCCTCAGCATCGGTTGTGTGCTCGTCACCCTCCCCTCCGTGCTCATTCTGGACGAGCCTACGTCTGGTCTCGACGCATTCACCTCCTACCTTCTCCTGCAGACGCTGAGCGCGCTCGCGCGCCGCGGGCGAACCGTCATCTTATCCATCCACGCGCCACGATCAGACGCTTACCCATTGTTCGACTGCATCACTCTGCTTTCTAAAGGGCGGGTTGTGTACTCAGGCCTCCGGAGGCAGTGTCTCGACTGGTTCAGTGGATTGGGCCACGACGTCGAGCCCGGCATCAACCCCCTTGACTTCCTCATTGATGTCAGTTCTGTCGACAACCGCACGCCCGAGAAGGAGGAGGCGAGCATGGCCCGCGTTCGCGCACTCACCAATGCGTGGGCGGCGCACATCGCCGCTAAGCCAGACACGCTCGCTCCTCAGCGGCCAGATCTGCGCTCCTCCAACTCTCACCACAGTGCGGGGGCTGTCGAACTGCACCGCGCTGTGACGCGCACCGAGCAGAAGCGTCCCGGTTTCTTCCTCCAGACCCGTGTGCTCACCGCGCGTGCGCACCGCAACGTCTACCGCAACATCCCAACGATCGCGGGCCTCGTGCTTCAGGGCATCATCCTCGGCGTCATCATGGGTGTGACATACGCCAATATCCCAGACACGCCGACAGGCGTCCAATCGCTCAAAAATCTTTCGTTTCAAATGATTCCCGGCGTGTTCTACCTCCAGCAGGTGTTTTGGGTGTACAAGTTCTGCAAGGATCTGATTATTTTCGACCGCGAGCGAGAGGATAACCTCTACGATGTCGTGCCGTACGTACTCAGCGACTGGATCTCGTTCCTTTTCCCCGCCATCCTCTCCCCGACGCTGTACATCTTCATCCTCTGGTTTATCGCAGGCATGCGACATGACGATGTCGCGCGCGGCTTGTTCACGGTGGTTGGGAGCACGCTGCTCGTACAAAGTGCGATCCAGGGCCTTGCATTATTTGCAAGCTCTGTCACCCGCAGCTTTGCGCAGGCGTCGCTCATCGGCAACGCGATCAACATCTTCCAGCTCCTCTCGGCGGGCTTCATCCTCGTCGACCCGCCAAACTTTACAGAATGGATCCGCTGGCTCTCGCCGTACTTCTACAGCTTCCGCATCGTCGCCACTGTAGTTTTCAAGGACCGCGTGTTCGACTGCCCGGCAGACTCGAATGCCAATCTTGCCCAGTGCGACGGAAACAACGTCCTCCGCGGCTTTAACTTTGACCTGGACATCAATATCGGTGTGTGGTTCGCCGGTATGATCGGCTTCGCCCTATTGGAGTACGCCATCGCCTGCCTTGTGCTCCGCTACCTTCCTGTTGGCGGCGTGCGGCACGCCTCCGAGATTGACGGCCATTTCCGCGGCAAGACGGCCGACGTCGCAGATAGCCACATGACACGCGACAAAATCGACGTGACAGTGCGTCACCTCAGCTTTGCATGGGAGCGGCGAGGGCGAGGCCTTGCGAAGAACGCGCGCAAGCTCATCCTCGACGACGTCTCGGCCTCCTTCCCCGCCGGTGAGGTCAGCGCCATCCTTGGCCCCTCGGGAGCGGGGAAGTCTACGCTACTTCAGCTCATTGCGGGCCGCCGCCTCAGCGCTGGCGCCATGGCGAGCTTCACGCGCACTGGTGACTTGCTATTTGCGGGGGCGCCCGCTACAGCCGTGGCAATGAGCAATGTCGCCTTTGTGGAACAGGAGGATGACTGGCACCTCCCCAACCTGACGGTCCGGGAGACGCTGCGTTATGCTGCGGTTCTCCGCTTGCCAAACGAGATGGCGCGGAAGAAGAAGATCGCAAGAGCCGAGACAGTGCTTAGGATGTTGGGACTCAAGGATTGCGCCGACCTCCCGGTCGGCGGGCCGCTCATCAAAGGCATTTCGGGCGGCGAGAAGCGCCGTCTTTCTCTCGCTGTGCAGAGTAAGCCACTTTCCGAGCCGGCTGACACCAGTGATCAACGACCCCGCAGTGCTCGTCGTTGACGAGCCCACGTCCGGTCTCGACTCCAGCATCGCGCTCAGCGTGATGCAGGTACTGAAGGATATCGCGGCGACTGGGCGCACCGTCATCGCGACTATTCACCAGCCCCGTTCGGACATTTGGCGCCTTGCGGACAATGTCACGCTTTTGGCCAAGGGTGGGGTGGTGGCGTACAGCGGCCGGCGTTCCACTGCGATCAGATACTTCACCAGCATCGGCTACCCAATGCCGTCAGAGTTCTTCAACCCCGCCGACCACCTTCTCGACTTGGTATCTGTCGACCCGAGGGCCGCGACACATGCCGTTTCCCAGGCGCGTGTCCGATCCCTAACCGACTCGTGGCGCGCCATCACCTCCCAGAGCGGGGATGAAGAAGTGCCTGCCCTCGACGAGAAGAAGAGCGGATGGCGCCGCAGCCTCCCCCTTGTGTCGGCGGCGAGCGAGAACAAGCTGTCCTCCGGCTCGCGCACCACGTCGATGTACATTGCGCTCCCCGTCGTCCTGCAGCGGCACTGGCTGAACCTCTGGCGCCAGCCCGATGTGTTCATCAACCGCTTCATGCAGGCGCCGTTCGTGAGCGCCCTCTTCATCCTCTTCTTCCAACGCCTCACAATGGGTGCGCAGGGCGCGCAGGACCGCATCGGCCTCACAATGCAGAACACCAGCGCCATTGCCTTCGTTGGCCTTCTCAACGCCATGTCGATTCTGCCTCCAGAACGCAACCTCTATCTGCATGAGGCGGCGAGCAGCGCACGCTACGCGCCCGCCACGTTTGTGATCATGTACACGCTCGTGGAGCTTGGGCCGCAGATTTTCTCTGCACTCGTCTACACCGCCGTGGTATGTGCCCCAACTGGCCCTCGCTGACGCACAGATGCACGTCGCCGTGGGGATGCAGACGAGCGTGGCCATCTTCTTCGAGTTTTTCGCCACCATCTGGGCCATGCAGAGCCTTGGCGAAAGCCTCGCCATCCTCGTCGGCATGTGGGTGGCCTCAGAGGGTCTGACCGTCACGTGAGTGTACCTCTGGCCTGTCTGACACCAGCATCCTTTCCACGTTCCTTTCGCTGCTTGCGCAGACGGCTGGTGTCGTGTCTCTCAATGTGCCGCGATGGCTGGCCGGCCTCTCGTGGGGCACGCCCTTCAAGGGCGCCGTCAAGATCCAGATCATCAACGAGTGTGTCGGCCTCGTGTTCCGGTGTACGACCCAGGAAGTTGCGGATGGCAAGTGCGTGGCGCAAACGGGCGAGCAGATCCTCGCGCTGTTCGGGTGGCAGGACCTCAACGCCGCCCGGTTCACGGGCATCATGGTCGCGACGACTGTGGCCTGGCGCATTCTCTCGTGGCTGAGCGTTGCGGCGCGCGTCCGTGGCTTCCGCTAGGGATAGATCCTAGACTTTCTTTTTGATTGTGGGGGGTGTTGTGCGATTTCTTGCTTTAGCCGCGTCGCATGATATATGTTTACTCGGGGTACGGTTACTGTCCATGCGCTGTCCACGTCAGTCGCCTTGGTACGCCTCGTGCACCTCAACAGATGCGACGCAGGGCGTCCCGACGCCCGTCGTACGGATGGCGCAGCAGCGCAGCAGACACGGTCGCTCCCACCACCTGATCGGCGGGTTTCTAAACGTTAGCTTTAGTTCTCAAACACTTTGATTAAGGCGCCGAGAACGGCCATGATTCGCTTTGGTAGAGAAGCAGTTGTGCGAGACCCCCGATGCAGAAGTGTGCGAAGGACGTGACGTTCGCCCGCAAGGTCAGATGTGGATGTGCACACGTCAACGGCCGCGGATTGCCGGATGCCGGCCGGGCCGTCCGCCCCCACATTCCGTGCCCTGCCACCTCTCTCTCACCGTCCGCGCAGCACATATATCGCGACAACGCGTCGCTCACTTAACTGTCACCCAATCTCTTACTCACGTTCATCAAAATGACAAAGCTGGTCATCTGGGGCCGGCATAATTCGAACAATGTCAAGAAGCCGCTGTGGGCGGCGCACGAGCTCGGCCTCCCCTTCGAGTCCAAGATTGTGGGCATGCAGTATGGAGGTGCGTCCGCCTCCCTCCCTCGCTAACGATAGGCACCAAAACGCCCGAGTACCTCGCCATGAACCCGATGTCGCAGATCCCGACGCTGCAAGACGGCGACCTCGTGCTGTGTGAGAGCCACGCCATCGTGCGCTACCTCTTCGCGGAGTACGCGGACGCCGCGGCCTTCCCAACGCAGGCGTCGGCGCGTTCCCGCGCAATCGGCGACCGCTGGATGGATTGGACGCAGTGCACGCTCGCGCCGGTGATGAAGGGCGTGTTCTGGCCCGTTGTGCGGCAGACCGAGGCCGAGCGCGACTGGAACGCCATCCGCGCCGCCATGGCTCAGATGGAGGCGCTGCTCAAGATCGCCGAGGGGTGGCTCGAGAAGTACCCCTGGTTCTCGGGAGACAGCTTTGGCGCCGGGGACATCCCTCTCGGGTGCTTCCTCTACGCATGGTTTGAGATGCCGATTGAACGCGAGTCGCATCCCAAGCTCGAGGCGTGGATGGCCAAGCTTAAGGAGCGCCCGGCGTTCCAGAAGAGTGTGATGGGACCGCTTACCTAGGTTGCAGGGGCAGGATGGAAGCTGGGCGCTGTGCACCGGCTTCAGCAGTTTGCTCCCAGGTTCAGGTGGTTGTTGTGGTCGATGCCGTTGTGATGCATCGCGATGCGGAGGCGAAGGAGCGTACGGCCGGATGCGGCACTGACGCCACAGCGATTTACTGCACTACGTGCGCGGGAGGCCTACAGCGCCACTGCGCCGTCGCGCCGCGACACTCAGTCAGCTCTCCACATGGGCACCAGTCAGCCTGGGTGTTCTACAATGGGATGTCGGAAACACCAACGGTCCCCAGCGCGAGCAGGGTTTACATGATATGATGTTATGACGAAACGAGCCTTTACTATAAGCCACTAGAATACAGTCCACTGTCCGACGATGTCTCTTAGCAGCTTAGCAGGCGCACCCCGAATCGATGAGCGGGTCGCCGCACGTGTCGCGTCCGAAGGCGAGGTAGCCCAGCGTGTGACCCAGGAAAATGGCGAAGAGAATGAAGCCGTTGTAGTACATTCCCAGAAGCATCCTGAGAGGTCAGCGCTGCCTTCGGTGTGCACGCGATGCGGAGGGAGGGAAGTTGGAGCTTTGAAGCGAGGTGATGGCGTTCACGTTCACACCCGCTTTCCACTTCACACACTACCGGACAAACAAAACTCACACAAGGAAGGCGCCGGTGAACTGCGCGCCGTACGCCAGGCTGCGGACAATGTGCTGCGTGAAGGTGGGCGGCACAAACCCGCCCTTCTCGGCGCGGTTGGCCTTGATGATCTTCCGGTCGTACTCGCGCGCGGCGCGGCGGAGGGCCTCGATCGCGACACAGAGGAAGAAGACACCGATGACCGAGCCCGCGAACATGCCCTTGGTCTTGACGTGCCACGAGCGGGAGAGGAAGCATGCGTCGACCGTCGTCCAGTTCCACAGCATCGAGACTGGGATCAGTACCGTGCCATGATCGCCGGGGCCATACAGAGCCGACGTGCCACTCACTCTTGCAGCTTCCGCCGCCCATGCTGTGTCCGCCGCCCATGCTGTGGCCTCCGCCCGCCGACATGCCCGTTGCAGTGGCGGCGGCGGCGGAGCCCGTGGTGGATGCCATGCCGCTCATGCCGCTCATGCTCATGCTCATGCTGCTCATGCCGTGTCCGGAGTGGTCCATGATGTAAGATGGTAAGGAGGTAAGTGTTCAAAGTGTGAGAAAGAGGACGAAGCTTCGTGCATTATGTATCACCACAACCTCGGCGCGATGCGGAGAAGCGACGCGACCCGTGCTCACGGATTGTGGATGATTGTGGCTGATTATGGGTGATTGTCGGTGAGCGACAACGGACAGCGGTGGGAAGAGAGGCGGCCCGTGTCTTGGCGGATTCGGCGACGGCGCTGAGTGGACGCCTATGGCCGCTGTGCGGTGCGCCATTTCGCGCGGCGGTGAGTCACCTGCGGCATTCACGCTCGGAGCGTGCCAGGGGCAGGAATTGGCGCGCGGCGGGGAGACACCAGGGCGGAATGCCTCACTCGATCGCGGGCTTTGGCTTTGCGTCTCCGATACACTCGGGGTGCGCCCTGGAGCCGGCGCGTTTCTCAGCACGACGGAGCGGAAGGAGATTCTAGCTTCTAGCTTGCACAGCAGTGCAATTGGAGGCGCATCTTAATTTTACAGTGGTAGTAAGTTCAGGTGAGGAGACTGGTTCAGCATCAAATGAACTACGTGCATCCGCCACTCCGCCTCTGCTGCTCTTATCTAATCGAGCACAGACCAAGATAAAGACTGAACGCGTCGCGTCGGGTCGCAATGTGGATGACATGAATAATGAACATGAGCGCTCGGAGGGTCACCGACAACTCCGGGCGGAGCGATGGGTGATCAGCCGCCTGATGTTCTCGGCCCAGGGCCGATGCTAAAGTCGCCGAAGCTGACACCCGCGTCACTCCCGCTGCTGCCAGTCATAAAGTCGAGGAGCAGCATCATGTTCTTCACTCTCCACTGTTTCGTCTGTCAAGTTCAACGCTCGACGCGCACACCCGCTCATTGAACGCCCTACTCAACCGCGTGCTCAAGACCGCGCCTCCACACTCACCACTTCCCATCCCAGCCCATCTCTCGCCGGACCGACGTCATCTCTCAACCTCATCTCATCTCCCGTCTGATCCTCCCGCCATGGCTCCGCCCCCCTTTCCCCCCGGGCCCGGCATGACCGATGAGCAGTTCAAGAACATGGTCGCCGGCCGCCCCTACAACGGCGACAAGTACCTCCAGGCCCTCCTGCATCGCACCGCCGGTCTGCTGGCCAAAGCGAACGCGACGCTCGACATGAAAGAGCGCATGGCTGCGTACGCAGAGTTCCTCGAGTTCCGCAAAGGCGACCGGGGAGGCGCATATATGATTCCGCCCTTCACTTGCGAATACGTGCGTCCTGTCACGGCCTTTAGCTGACCGCAGGGCTTCAACATCTCCATCGGGGACGACGTGTTCATCGGACCAAACAACACATGGCTCGATGTCGCGCCCATCCACATCGGAGACCGAACCATGATTGCGGCCAACACGCAGATCTACACTCCGTCGCACCCGATCCTGCCCGAAGAGCGCAACGGTCTGCGCGGGCCAGAGTGGGCGAAGCCCATCCGCATCGGAGACGACTGCTGGATCGGCGGCGGCGTCATCATCTGCCCTGGGGTGACCATCGGGAACGGCGTCACAGTCGGCGCGGGCAGCGTGGTCACCAAGGACGTGCCCGAGCGCGTGGTTGTCGCTGGCAACCCAGCCAGAGTCATTAAGCAGCTGCCGCCTGTGGGAGAAACGGTCGATGGGAACTACAAGCCCGTCGGTGGCGACTACCCCAGACCACACCTTGAGGGCGCTCAGGCTGAGGGCGCGGGCGCCGAGGCAACGGGTGAGTCTACTTCGCCCTTGGCGCGCTCTGCGCAACTGCCTTAGCCTTAGAGATCTAGATTAGACGTGTTGCTTTCATGCTCCTCGCGGTCACCTCAATGCTTGTGAATTGCTAACTCATACTCACCTTCGACTCTAATGTACAACTCACGCCTCTGCCTCACATCATACGCTACAGACGGACGAACACGGATACAGTATCTCGGTCTTCGACTCAGACCTATTCGTTGGGCCGCTCGCACCCTTGGTCAAGCATGTACCGCCACCGGTCGGGCTCCTCCTGCAACGCGATCGGCACATTTGTGAATCCGTGTACGGGCTCGACGCCGCCACTTTGCGCGACGATCTCCTTGAACGAGAATGCTTCCTGACATCAGCGCAACTCTCAACGCATCTCAGTCGGCCGAATGTCCCCTCGCTGCCACTCGCTTCCTCTCGCTCCCTCACCTCACACCTTACTCCAGATTCGCACTAACCGGAAACATGTCGAACGGGTCCTCGCCCGCACACACCCGCGCTCGCAGCTCGTCTTCCTCGAGCAGCTTGGGGCTGCTGAGGCGATCATTGTGCCCATACCCTGCCATCTTGGCCCGCATCTCCTCGAGCGTGCGAAAGCAGAACGTGCAATGCCACCCAGCGTCGGCCAACAGCAAGTCTGTGCCCCGCCCATGGTGATATCCAACCTCGCCGTCCACGACGTGCACTCGTGGCCGCCATGTCCCGCCGTCGTGCAGCGGCTGCGCGAAGCTGTACCTGTAGCTCGCCATGTTGAGGTGGATATCGGGTGCCTCGCAAGAAGACAGCAGCTCCAACGTGCCGCGCGACACGACCTCGTCCGCGTCGGACATGATCACGAGGCTCCCGTCTGGCAGCCGTCCGCGGTGCCGCAGCGAGTTGATGAGCCCCGATATGACGGTGCGCTGCGTATGTTCGTTTGTCATGTCGCCTTTGGGCACGGGCTCGAAGTCGGTGATAGCGTCGTAGAGGATTTCCACCCCAGTCTCCTTGGCGATGACGTCGAAGCGCGCGCGCTCCTGGGCAAAGTAGAGGGGTTTGGGGTCGCCGGAGAAGGAGGCGTTGGCCTCGACGACCACAAGGAAGTCGATGAGGCCGGCCCCTTCGCGCAGCCGGATTTCGAGAAAATCCAGTTCCGAAGCGACGGGTAGCGCGTCGACGACTACTGGCTTGGACGCACGCGCGGTCCAGCCGTGGAGTGCACACCATTTGTCCGTGTCGCCCAGCGGCCGGGCATAGTGAGGAAAGACGACGAACCCAGACTCTGGGCGGTCCCAGAGAGGCCGGAGGAGATATCCGATGTCGCGCCACGCGAGACGGAGCTGGGAAACGTGCAGGAGGAGGAGGAGAAGCACGGCGCCGAGGGCGATGAAGCGCCCCGCGCGTCGTTTGAGCGCGACCATAAAGAATGATGAAGAGAATGCGTTGCAAGATGAGCAGACGTCGCCAGGGTGGCGTGTGGCAGGCAAAATGTCGCTGACACAAAGTGAAACAGAACTATAATGCAGGGCAGCAACACCGACGCCACCGCACGGGCCGCAGGTCCGTTCCGCTGGAAGGCCATCAACGGTGCAGCAGGCGACGTGCCCGCGGCCCACGCGCCCCGCGGCCTGCGCGGAGTATGCAATGCAGCGTCGGCGTTGGGTTTACCCCGCATTCTCACATCCTCAACCGTCACTTGTCCATTCCGCCGTGGCCGCCGCCAATGTTGTCGGCTACAGTGGCGAGCTGGCGAGCGCATGCCTTCTGCCGAGCCCCGCCATGCCCTCCCCCTTCAATGCACATAATACAAATCACTCACGCACTGACGGCGCGTTCGCTGACGTCTGATATGATTTTTTGCTGACGCTTCTGCGCCACCCACATACTTCTCATCACTCCTCGCTTCCTCGACAGGCTACAAAACTCTATACCCTCTGCCCGCTGCACCCCCTCCGCCGCAATACATCCCCCACCTACCCATGACAATGACGTACACTGACGACGCGCAGTGGACGACCGGCGACATCGCCCTCCTCTCGACCGACGGCGTCCGCCTTCGTGTCCCCCTCAAGCTCCAGAGCGCGAGGTGAGCTCTCCCCTACTTGACTAACATCAGCGCCAAGCTCCGCCAAGCACCCCCTGCAGCACTCCTCCGCGCCCCTGCCTCAGCAGCGACGCTGCGGCAGTTCCTCACCCTCGCCTCCTCCCAGTCCTACACCCTCGGCGCATGGGAAGACGCGCTGCCCCTCGTGCGCTTCGTCGTCGCGTTCCAAGCCCCCGCGCTCCTCGAGATCATCCTCGACGCTATCCGCGTCTCCCTAGTGACAAACTTCACTCTCGGCGCCTTCATCCTCGCCGCGGCGGCCGACTCGCCGGCTCTCGCCCGCGACGTCATCAAAGCGGCGCTCGACCGCCGCTGGGGCTGGGTCGGCGGCGGCGTGCCAGGCCGCGCCGTCCTCGACCCCTCCGGCTGGCCCGCATACATGCACAAAACGTGCCCAGGCGTGTGGGCGTACGCGCTCGCGCGCGCGTGGAAGCTCACGCGCGTCGCGGAGGGCCAAGACGAGGGCGAGCTCCTCGGCGCAGCCTTCGAGCGCGTGCTCGCACAAGCGCGCGCGGCGCCCCCCGCCGCCGCCAGCAGCGACGACGAGACGTGGACCGCGGGCGAATGGACGCTCACGTCCGCTGACGGCGTGCGCTTCCACGTCCCCGCCTACCTCCTCCTATACTTGAGGTGCGCGTCCGCGCGTCCGCGCTAACGCCAGCCCCGTGTTCCGGGACATGGCGTCGATCGGCTCGGGCCCGCCCTCGCTCGAGTTCACCGACAGCGAGATCGAGAGCGCGCCCGTCCTCCGCCTACTCCTGCACTTCGTGACCACCGGCTCGCTCTCCATCTCCGCGCCGGCCGTAGAGTACAACCTCGAGCACGTGCGCGCACTCGTCCTCTTCCTGCGCAAGTGGCAGGCGGGCCCCGCGCTCAACCACGCCCTCTTGCAGGTCGAGCGCGCGGCGGAGCGCGGGCAGTGCTGCGCGATGCGCGCGTTCATGGTCGCCGCGGCAGTCGAGGACGCCGACCTCCTCTCCGCCCTCGTGGCCAAGCATGACGCATTCTTCCCCGCGTCCGAGACCGAGGGCGTGGTCGGCGCATCGGTGTGGGACCCCGCCGCGTGGCCCCTCAGCATGTGGACGTCGTGTCCGCCCCACTACGCTGCGGCCGTCGCACGCGCATGGGGCGAGACGCGCGGGTCGAGCGCGCGTGCTCGCGAGTTTCCGCACGCCTTCCGCCGCGGGCTTGAGGTAGGGTAATGCGAGGCGGCGCTGAGCGCAGACACCGCGGCGCGAGAGTAAGCTCTGACTGACACAGTCTCTGTATTTTAGCAATGTATCATTGTGAACGATGAGATGCCTGCCTGGCATGTTAGGCGAGGCAGGGCCTGTGTGTGCTGCAGATCAGTCGGCGTGAGCCTCGGGTTCGCGCACATTGTTGGGAGCTGAACTTAGCATCGATGGTTCTCCGTTGTAATCCAAGGAGTTACATTGACAACGATGGACCCTGCTCACCACATCAGTGTCTGACCCTACCCACACAGAGCGGATCGCGAAAAGTGCCCCAGGCGTTGCCACCCGGACCCATGCACGCGTGCTAAGCGGACCAATGCATACGCCTCTACTGTCTAGAGGTCGTCGATCTCGGCCTCCTCGAACTCGATACCACCCTCGTCGTCCGACGGACCACCCTCTGTACGTCAGCGCTGCCTGCGCCTGCAGCTCACCCTCGGCGGCCTCGGTGATCTGGAAGTCCGACTTCAGCTCTCCGTAGGTCTTGAGGTTACGCGCCTCGTCAGGCGTGTAGCGGTGGATCACGTCCGCCTTGTCGTCCTGGAACTCGCGAAGCGAAAGAAGGATGATGTCACCAACGGTGATCCAAACCTGAGGTTAGCCAGAGTTCAGCGGGCTCGGGCTTAGGAGATGGACAAGAGGGGGCGGGTGGGCGATGAGCCACAATAGTGGGAGACAAAGGGCTCCACGATGACATGTGAGGTGCGGTCCTGCGCAACAGGCGCTGGAAGAGACCAGCTCGCGATCTGCCCAGCGCCGACCCCCAAGCGCCTAGTACAATCCAGCGAAGTGTCTCAGATCGCAGTGCCTTCCCGCACAGCACCACCGGGCACGCGACCCATGACCGCACGGTCTCCCAGTCCGATTTCCGCAAGTCTGCTTGCCACTCCATTGTCTGTTCCGCCCAGCCACATCGCAGCCGTAGACAAGTCGCCACCCACCTTCTTGCGCATCTGGCCTCGGATCTGGCCAAGACGGGTCTCGCCGTCCTGGCACTTGGCCTCCAATCGCCCGTTACCAAGCATCTTGACAACCTGCGCGTACTCTGGCCGTCAGTTCTCCCGTCCTTTGTTCCCCCTTCCCCAGAAGCACGCACCCTGGCCGTCCTCCTTGAAGACAAGCTCGCGCTTGTCGCCGTCGAGGTCGTTCTTTCCCCTCCTGCGGTTCTTGCCACCCTGTCATCAGATACCATTCACCACTCCCTGCTCTCGCCTCGGTCCAGCGATGCGCACCTTTCCCTTAGCCTGTTGTTAGCATCCCAGTCGCTCTGTATGATGTTGCGCGAGAGCTCACCTTAGGCATTTTGATGTAGTGTGGTTGTTGGTAGTGTTGACAATGTCGCGATGTCGCGTCAAGGACAAGGGCTCAAGAACGAACGACACTCAAATTGAAGGAAAAAGAACAGGCACGCTGTTCATACCCCCGCCTTTCCCCCAACTTCATCTATCCGGTAAATAGGCGCGCGAGTGGCGTCACGTGCGGGAATGGAGCGAGCGACAAGCGTTCTGGGAGCTGGGAGCAGCGTCGAGCCTGACGCGCGCCAAGAAGTCATCACGACTGCTATATCTGCCTAAGCAACCTCAACCGCATCTTTACTCTCCCTCTTCTTTCACTCAGCGCACTGGGGTCGCTATGCCCTCCTCTCACCCTGATGGCCGCGACCCGCGTTACGATGCGCACCTCGCTCCCACTCTAGCCGACGTCCCTCTCAACCCCAGGCGCCGCCTCCGCGACGGCACCGAGAGTGCCAGCACAAGCGCTAGCGTCAGCTCCTCGCGCTCCTCGTCGTGCGGAAACGCGCTGCGGGGAGTAAAGCGCACACGTTCCACCCGCTCCGACACCGACGACGTTGGTGCCAATGCTGAGGCCAGCCGCCGCCTGCCCGCTCTCCACCCGCGCCTCCCCCGTCCCGAACCCCACCAGGCAGGCGACGAGGAGGAGGTGTTCACTCTCAGCCCAGACCCCAATCAGGCGGAGATGATGGACATTGACGCCAGGGATGATGAGCGGGTGCCACCAGGATCGTCCACCGCACCCGACACCGAGGCAGGTCCCTCTGGCCCCATACCCGAACATACAGAAGCTAAAGGCGACCTCAGCAGTGACGACGAGCCACTAAGGCGCCGCTCGCGCAGTTTCTCCCGCCCCGAGCATCGGGGAGAAGGGCGCGCTACGGCTCCCGCTGCCAACGGGGACGCTTCTGGCCACGACAATTCGCTCGAGTCTGCCTTGGCCGACCTCCACTCTTCCCCCCATTCCAATCATAATCGATCACCCTCCCCAGCATCCACGTCCACATCGTCCGGTCCACGCTACACTGCCCAGGAGAAGGGCAAGGGGCGCGCAATACAGCGTAGCGTCATCGATGTGAGCGATGATGAACATTTCGACGAAAGCATCCAATTCATCGAGAGTCGAGCCGCGGCGCCGATAGCGATATCCGATGACGAGCCCGACATGGACAAGGAGCCGCCCGAGGCAGCTATTGACGATGAGAGCGCCATATCTGCTTTCAGTGAGCAGATCGGGTTGGTCTGAAGCTGACCGAAGCATGTCCTGTGTGCTTCATGCCACCAACGGCCCCCGCCCTCACACCATGGTGAGTTTATCCCCAGTCGCGTCGAGCGAGACCTTGGCCGGCACTTTGTGTGGCACGGCGGCGTTATGTCTGTTCACTGCGCGTGTCGCTATGCGAGTACCCGCAACGACCGCACCTTGCCAGAGCGCCGATCAGTTGACACGCAGCGGGCACGTCATGTGCTACGGATGTCTCCATCAGTCAATGCTTGCCGCTATCGGGCGCCAGAACAACCCATTTCCCAGCAATTCGAGGCGTGGCAAGAAACGCAATCGCGGCGCTTTCGCAGACCTGCGCGCCGGGGGGCGGTATATTCCACCTGACAAATGGACGAAAGAGACGCTCGAAGAAGGCTGGTGCGCATCGCAGGAAGACCGCTACCGTCGTCAACTCATCCGCGAAGGTGTGCCGGAAGAGGATATTTCGGCGTTGCTCAAATATGAGCGCGATGAGCGAGTTCAGAACATCCAGCACCCGCTAGAGGATTTGTGGAATCTGGGCAACGACCTGTGGGTTATCGAGGGAGAGTGCCCGGTGAGTACCAATTGATCCGAGTCAAGGCATCGGCCAGTGCGGTCGCTTGCATTGGCATTACATGGCCGAGATGGCCGAGGTTCAGGGTGTGGCTTTCGGGGCGCGGGGCAGGCTGGTCGACCGACTTTTCGGAGTGGCAACAAAAGATCCAAGGACGATTTCGCTGACGTTGTTCAGGTGTGCCGCAAACGGATCCCTGGAGGGCTTGGGCCACTCGAGTACAGGCTCGGCAGCGTTGTGCTGCTCGAGACGAGGGTGGCGCGAGCGGGCGAGCCTGAAATTTTGAGTCTGGCATAGATCACAGACTGCGTGCGGCTGCGCATGGTTGCCATCGCTCGGCCATCGGAGACGAGGCAGATTAACAGGAGTTGGAGTTGTTGTATTGGCATTAGCATAGTTGGGAGTCACATGTCCATGTTCACATTGCCTGTATGACTGTACCACGGCACGCCGCTCGGTTGCGGGGCACTCCGAGGAGAATGGAGGAGAGTGGGCAAGCTGTGCTCGCTTGCACGTTCGCAGCAGACATATGGCAGATGAGGGGGGAGGACGGATGGAATCGCCCAGAAGATGGCCGTCGGTGCGGCTGAGCAGCTCCAAGCTCTGCTACGCCGATGCTCCGCAGACGCCAGCAGCCCAGCAGATGCAGAGTGGCAAATGTTCAGGGAGATCTGATGTGCCGGCGGCATCCAATCCGACTTGCTCCGGATATTTGGTTTTGATTATATTTCTTCTTTTGCGCCACCCAAGGGCCGCCTGTTATAGCGGGTAATTAGGCACTTCGGCCAAAACGACTCATCAGCGATTTTGAAACTCGCCCCGCGTACGGCGTAGACGGCCTTCCTTCGGCATCACCCCCGCAGTCTCAAGTCCATTCCAAAAAGACACTACCCAGCAACTACCTCGTCTCCTCTCTCCATCATCATCATCACCATCCTCCCGCTCGTCCTCATCCTCCTCCGCTCTCCTCCGCTCTCCTCCGCTCTCCTCCTCCTCCGCTCCTCATCCTCACTCCTCCTCTCAATCCATCTCTCTTGCACAAGTACTTGCCGACCCACCATTTTTGGCCGTCTCACCAACGACCATCCACCCAAACTAATCTGCACTCTTAACCCCCGTCTCCCAGCCTGAGGGCTGTGGCCCATCTCTCCAACCATGCCTATGTTATCCAAGGCAGCGTACGTCCCTCCATCCATCCTCTCTCACACCAGAACAACGTTCCGGCCCTTCCTGCGCTTTCAGACGCAGCACCAGCCGGACCTTTTCACATCTAACCCGAGTCTCATCCACCACCTCAACCAGCATGGCATCGTCGCGCAGGGCGCGGCTCAGACTGCCACCGGGTCAGGCGGTGCCGCCGGCGGTGCCGGCCGCGCATACGGCGGCGCTTCGGGCGGCTACACTGGCTCTTCGCGCGCCTTTGCCTCCCTCGCCGGATCAAGTGGCGAGATCGCTGGCGTGAACAACAGCGCCGAGGAGCGTGAGAAGCGCAAGGCTCGTCAGTCCGCCGCTTTCGCCCTCAAGCGCGGCGCTAAAGTTCCGGAGCCCACTATCCCCCGCACCGTCATGATGAAGGACCGCATGGCGCCGCTCGCTGGCAGCCGCCCCGTCACCATGATCGAGATGAGGGAGGAGGGCGCCGAAGAGCGTGCCTCAATCACCTACCCCGCGTGGACGGCGCTGCCACCCGACGCCGCACCCGGCGGACCTCTCTGGGTCACTGGCTCTGCGCCTCGGCCCATCGGCGCGCGCGCTTTCTCCACCACCGTTCAGAGGTCTGACCACGACGAACATGTTCCTGTGCCCCTCATCTCCGGCGCTGGACCCTCTCGCATCGAGCAGCCAAACCACGTGCTCCAGGACCTTGCGGGTCTTGACCTCGGCCGCCCTGGCCGTGTCGGGCAGAGACGCCGCAACTCCACTGCCAGCGTTGTGCGCTCTGAGACTGACGAGGCACCTGACGTCCTTTCACCTCGCGCACCTCGCGATGCCGACCAGCAGGCCGACTACAACATCTTCCGCGCGATCGAGGACAGCGACAAGAACAACACTGAGTTTGTTCGGCGCCTGATCGAGCATTACCGCCAGCCGCGGACGGGTGAGCAGGCCTCGTCCACCCTCGCGGAGCAGTACCCTCTCCCAGCCGGATACACAACCGCCACGTACAACGCTATCCTTTCTTTCCTGCTGCAGCACCGCAGACGTGGAGCCAGCATTGCCTCCATTCTCGACATCTACAACGAGATGCTTGCCCGCGACATTGTGCCTAATATCCGCACCACTTGCCTCGTCGTCCGCGCCCTCTGCCTGCGTGAGGAGGACGTTTCGGCTGCTTCGCGCCGCTGGGTCCAGGAGATGGAGACCCAGAAGCTGAACGAGCAGCAGCTCGGCGTCTCGGCCGCAAAGGACGAGAATGCAGCCCAGATCATCGAGGGATACCAGCACGAGCAGAACTTGGCCTCAGCGGTCAACCTGTACCGTGTCGCCACAACCTTCTTCAAGGGTTCGGGCTCGAGCCCCGGCGCGATCAAGAAGATGGAGCAGAATGCTCTCGAGGACCTGCTCACTGCCGCCGCCACTTCAATTGGTCTGCCACATGCCCCGCAGCCCGAGACGATCCAGTTCCTCCTCGACCAGCTCAACGCCGTTCCCACGGTGTACCTCGCGAGGCAACTGGACAGCGTCGTTGCTGGGTTCCAGCTGCTCGCTGTGCTCAAGGATCTGGAGGGTACGAAGAAGCTGTGGGACCGTCTTCTGACGGATCGCCCCGATTTCTTCACCAACCAATCTTACGGTGCGCGCGCCGCCGAGGCTCAGTCAGAGGCCATTAAGGCGTTCTTCGCCGCGGGCGACAAGGCCAAGGCCGTCGAGATCGCCAACGTGAAGGGGGAGGGCAAGTATTTGCACCTCGCCCTGGCATCGTCGCTCGCCAAGGCTGGTGAGCTGGACGAGGCCATCAAGCTGCTGGGTGAGGGTGGCGCGGAGACTAACACCTCCATCGTCGCCGTTTTAGATGTCGCCGAGGCCCTGGTTGCGGCCGGCCGCTACAAGGAGGGTGTCAACTACATCACCCAGCTGCGTCGCTCTGCTCTCGTGAACCACCCTGGCCGCGGTCTGGACGGTAACCGGACGCGCAACATCTACACCCGCGTGCTCGGGGCGACCCTCAAAAACCCCGAGGACCCCGAGCTCATCAGCGCCCTCGCCGATGCCGCAGCCAGCTGCTCTTCGCGTGTCGAGCCTACCCTTCTGGCGAAGCACATTGAGATCCTCGTCAACACCGCCCGCTACAGCGACATTAGCCCGCTCCTCCTTAACGGTCCATCGTCGCCCAAGCAGGCTGCCGCGGCTGAGAACGAGGACACCGCTCTCCTTCGCGAGGCCTTCGCCGCTGTCGTCACCTCCGAGGCGCCTATCTCGGTCGTGCTCCAGGCCATCCGTGGTTTTGCCCGCCTTGGCCACCCCGTTGCGCACCCAAGCGACTCGATTCCCCTCCCAACTGCCGTCGTCGACAAGTATGTCGCATCGCGCGCGCGCGTCCAGACTGTCGGTGAGCTCGGCATCCAGCTCGACGGCTGGTACCGCCTCCTCGAGGCCTTTGACGCCATCCCAACTTCGCACATTGACGCGGGTGCGGCCGATGCTGCTCTCGAGACCTTTATGGCCGACCTCGCCGAGGCGCAGAAGTCGGGCGGCCTCAAGCTTCCCAACACGATCTTCACTTCGACTTCGGTGCAGCAGCTCGTCGGTATCCTCACGGCCCGTTTCGGCGTCGAGCACACCACTGAGCTCGTCACGAAGGCCTTTGGCGACCGCGCCTCCCACCTTCTTCCCACCCCTGAGCAGAGCCGCGCCGGATCTGAGTCCGAGTTCACGCTGCCCCCGACGCCTGAGTCGGCACAGTCGCCGCCCGCCACTGTCCAGCCAGTTTCGGAGCACACCCTGCACATCAACCCTAAGCTCGCGGGGCTCATCGACCGCCTCCAGGCGCCCGTGCCTCCTGTGACTGCTGTGCAGGTGTACAGCACTATCCGCGACAGCATTTCGCGCGAGAACGCTGTTCCCGCCCCCGATGCGATCGGTCGTCTCATCGCGCAGCTCGCGCGTGCCGGCGAGGAGGCCAAGGCCCGTGAGCTTTACCAGCTCGCGCAGGTTGTGCTCGCCTCGTGCCTCCCGGACCCGCAGCAGCAGGCCGAGGGGTGGCGTGCCGTTGAGGACAGCATGATTGCCGCATGCTGCTTCCTTGGACAGCTCGAGCAGGCGGGCATGCACCGTGCGCGCATCATCGAGGCTGGCATGGCGCCCTCAGCAGATGCGTACGCGACGATGATTGCGTCGTCGCGCGACTCGACTGACGACGCGCTGGTTGCCCGCGAGCTATTTGACGAGAGTCAGAGCCTGGGCGTCGTGCCCCACCTGTACCTGTTTAACACGATCATTTCCAAGCTGTCCAAGGCCCGCAAGGCCGAGATGGCGCTCGACCTCTTCCAGCACATGAAGAGCGCTGGCATCCGCCCCTCGTCCGTCACTTATGGTGCCGTCATCAACGCGTGCTGCCGTGTCGGCGACGCCGAGAGCGCCGAGACGCTCTTCGAGGAGATGGTCAAGCAGCCGAACTTTAAGCCCCGTGTCCCGCCTTTCAAGTGAGCTTTAAAGCACGAGAGACGAGCTAACAGCAGCACTATGATGCAGTTCCACCTCCAGACGCGCCCGTCGCGCCAGCGTGTGCTGCACTACTACGACTCGATGCGCGCCGCAGGTGTCCGCCCCTCGGCGCACACCTACAAGCTTCTTCTCGACGCCTACGGCACGCTCTCGCCCACGGACCTGACCGCCATGAACCGCGTGTTCGGGGAGCTCTGCGCCGACCGCAAGGTGCCGGTGCAGGGCACGCACTGGGCGTCGCTGATTATGGCGTTTGGCCTGCACGGCGGTGACGTGGCCAAGGCGCTGTCGGTGTTCGACTCGATCGGGAGCCATCCGTCGACGAAGAGCGCGGTGCCGGAGCCCGTGGTGTGGGAGGCCATCCTGAACGTCCTCGGCCAGAAGGGGACACTGGAGCAGCTCGAGGCGATGCGTGCGCGCTTGGACAAGAGCGGCGCCCGGCCCACGGCGTACGTCTGCAATGTGCTGATCGCGGGCTACGCGAAGCACGGCCACATCGAGCGCGCGCGCGAGGTGTTCGAGTCCATGGCGGATTCGGTGACGGGCGTCGCGGCGCCCAACAACCACCCGGCACTGCTCACGTCGAGCGGGCACGTTAAGCCTGCGTCGACGACGCCACTCGCTGACAAGGTGTACCGCGAGCCGTCGACGTACGAGGCTATGGTGCGCGCCGAGTTGCTTGCTGGTGAGCGGGGGCGGGCAGAGGCCGTGCTCGCGCGCATGGAGGAGCGGCGGTACCCCGTCGCCGTGTGGATGAAGGCGCGCGCGATCCTGGACGAGGGGATCTAATGGGAGAGACGTAGAACAGGGATGCTCGAGGAACGGGCACAGGTGTAATCGCATGTTAGCATAGCCTCTACCACACCACTCATCTTGTATTATTAATATGGATAAATGTGAGGACGAAGCACACCGAGGAAGGGCAAGAAGGTGGATTGTGTCCGTAGTCAAACGTGGTACGTGTGGCCATCAGTGCCAAGGTGGCCAGCGGTTGTTGAGTGCATGCCCAGAACGTGTCATCCCCATCCATCCATCAACATTACTCCCATCGCAACCCCTCGCACCCATCGCAGCCTATCAACACCCCACTGCATGTCTACGGAAACTTGGCCTCTTCAGGATGCGCATTCCGCCAATCGAGCGCACGCACGATAGTATACAGCGTGGTAATAATCGGCACGGGCACGCCGAGCCGCATCCCCTCGCGCATCGGCACGCCGAGGATGACCTCGACCTCGGTGGGCCGCCCCGCCTCGTTGTCCATCATCATGGACGACGGCAAGCCCGGGCCCCCGATCTCGCGGATCTGGCGCATGAGGTCGTCCGCCGTGTCGGGCGGCACCGCGAGGCCCTTGGCGCGCGCGACCGCCACGACTTCGGCCATGAGTGTGCGCGAGAAGTCTTCGGCGCCGGGCGACGACGCGAAAATCTGGTTCGTGCGCAGGCGCGTGACGGTCGTGAGCGCGTTCCACGCGCAGTTCCTGGTGTCAGCGGCGATCCAAGTGGACGAAGGTCACTAGAGTGCGCAGAGTGGAAACAGAGTGAGAAGAGGCGAGAAGACTGCCCTGCCACAGGCCACCTCATGCGCCCGGTACTCACCAAATCACCTTGATCCACCGCGCGCTCTGGATATCATCCGTGAGGACGGTATCCGACGCGGCCTTGCCCAAGATCTCCGCGAGCGTCGCGAGCTTGGCGTCCTCGGCCGCCCGCTCCAGCCCCGGCGTATAGTCCACGCCCATGGTGAGGCTCTCGCGCGCGAACTGGGACACGGTGGGCGTGCCGTCCGTCGGCGCGTCGACCTTGCCGCCCGTCCACACGACGGCCGAGATGACCGTGTTGCGCGGGAAGGCTGCGTGCAGCGGCGCCTCGTTGCCCACCCCGTTCTGGAGGAGCACGAGCGTCGTGTGCGCGGACACGGCGGGCGCGATGGTTTCCTCCAGCGCGGGCTGGGCGGCGAGGAGCGCCTTGTTCGCGCACAGCACGTAGTCGAAGGCGCCGGAGGCGGCGGCGTCGGCCGGGGACTTGTACACTGGTGTGAGCAGTCCCCCCTTTCTCCCCCCTCCTCATCTTCATCCTCTTCCCTCTCGTCCTCTTCCCTCTCGTCCTCGTCCCTCCTCGTCCTCGTCCCTCCTCGTCCTCTTCCCTCTCGTCCTCGTCCCTCCTCGTCCTCGTCCCTCCTCGTCCTCGTCCCTCCTCGTCCTCGTCTTCCGCCCGGTCTCCTCCCCTCCCAGGATCCAGCAACACCCCCCGTCCCATCTTGGCAACATCGCCCACCCCGCCCACCCAGACCCACTCACCCCCGTCAAACCGGTAATGGTGCTCGCCATGCTTCTCGCTCTTGAGCAGCAGCCCCTTCTCCCGGATCGCGTCGTAGTTGCTGCGCGCGACCACGCTGACCTCGCACGCGCCGGACCGCGCGAGCGCAGCCGCATATATCCCCCCAATCGAGCCGAGGCCGAACACCAGCGCACGCGGTTTCGCAGCGTTCGTCATGGCGCGTGTGAGTGTGCGTGTGCGAGTTGCGAGAGATGGGCAGGCGACGCGGGTTATCATGGTGTGGGCGAGCGGTATTTCGCGGCGCTCACTTTTCGGGCCGGCCGGGAGGCGTTGCGGAAGGGCCTTTGGTCCCGACGGAGAACGGGACGGATGAGCTGGGCCGCGCCAAGTCTCCACCCGCCACAATACCCCATTCCCAGTCTCCACCGCCAACGCCATCGTAGCATACACATTCATCATGCACGTCAATATAAATGCCTCCTAGTGCTTCTCCTTGATCTCGTGCACGTCGTGCGCATGCGCGTGGGTGGGCGTGTGCGAAAGCCCCGTCTCCGACAAGCGGCGCGCGAGGCGCGATGGCTCACGGCTCAAAGGGCAGTCTCTAGGCTTCTCCAGCACGCGGAACTCGCGCTCGAAGAACGAGTGCGCCGTCGACGACAGCTCGTCGTCCTCGTGGTCCTCGAGGTCGACGCGCCCGCCCTCCTCCTTGATCTGGTTGCGTGCCTCCCACATCACGCGCAGCTCCTTGATACGGCTCTGGCGGTCCAGCTCGGGGTCGTATGCGCGGTGGCGCTTAAGCACGACGCGCTCCCACATGCTCAGGTGGCGAGGGTGCACCGCGATGCCGTGGTAGTCCTTCGCGCGGCCTTCGCGCACAAACGCCCAGTAGCGGTCCTGCTCGCGCAGGTCCAGACCCGTGACATCAGGGATGAAGAGCTGGGTCGTGATCCAGCCCGCAAAGCCGAACCAGCAGACTACCCAGAACTTGGTGCGGTTGTCAATGTAGTTGTAGAGGATGGCGGGCATAAGGGCTCCGAGCTTGCCCGCGGCGGCCGAGAGGCCGTGCGCCGTCGCGCGCACCGAGACGGGGAAGACCTCGGCAGCGAGCAGGAAGGTCGTGCAGTTGGGGCCAAACTGGGTGAAGAAGGAGGCCAGGAAGTAGATGGTTTGGAAGCCCTTGATGTGCTCCTTGCTCTGCAGCTGGTGGAACCAGATGGCGGGGAGGAGGTAGAATATGCCGAGGAACAGGAAGCCGATGGTCTGCATGCGCTTGCGGCCGTAGAACTTGTGGTCGACGAGGAAGGCGGCGAGGTAGTATCCAAACATGGAGACGCCGACGTTGAGCAGGTTCCACAGCCAGCCGGTCATGACGCCCTTCGCGTTCGGCGTGATAACCTTGATAAAGGTGGACTGGAAGAGCTTGGCGCCGTAGAAGAGGAAGTCGGCGAAGAGCCAGCCGAGGCAGGTGCCGGCAAGGCGGCCGCCAAAGTGCGAAACGACGAGCTTGAGGGACACCAAGTCGTATCCGGACTGGTTGACGTGTGCGTCCCTCTTGCTCTTGCGGAGGGCGTGCTCAGAGTACTTCTTCTTGTAGTAACGCCAGTAGGCGAGCCAGAGGGTGAAGGGGATCATGAAGGCGAAGGAGACACGGAAGACCCACTGGCCGGTCTTCTTCGAGTATGGGGGAGTGGAGCCGCCGTGGAAGATGAGCAGGAGGAGAATCAGCACAGCCTGGTTGACGAGCTGACCCCAGCCTTGCATAAGGAAAGCGAGGACGACGTTGCGGCCACGGTGGAGCTTGTCGTCGCGCTGCGCTGATCCCGAGGCTGGCTTGTGCTCGAGCGCCGATGTCGATGTCATGGGGTACTCGCCGCCGACGCCAAGAGTGTAGACGAACTGGGACCAGGCGTAGCAGATGACCCAGCCGTTCAGAGTGGTGCCCCAGGACGCGGTGAGCATGACGAGGCCGAGAGCCATAACAAGCGCGTCCTGAACGAGGCCGAAGCGGCGTCCGATCCAGTCACCCTCGATGCCGACGCCGATCTGACCGCAGATGATACCGATAATCTGAATGTAGGAGACAGCAGCAATCCAGTTGGCGTCGCACACCTTGTGGGTGCCCCAGCACTCGGGCCATACGGCCGAGTAAAGGGATGTGAGGTTACCGATGGAGAAGATGGTGTAGCCTGTGGGGATTAGATGTTTGGGCTCTGTGCGTGTTCCAAAATTTGGTCTCGAGGCGGTCGAACCCGAGGCATGACTCACCTTCAGTGAACATGCCAAAGCCGGTGATCACGTAGCGGGAGCAGTAGGTGTTGAGGGGGGAGAGGGGGTCCTTTTTGAACATTTCCCAGATGACCTTGAGCTCGCGCTTTGTCTCTGCGTTGCTCTGGGCGTTGACCCAGTTCTGGCGCTCCTTCCATGGAAGGTCGGCCTGTGGTCAGAGGGGGGGAGGAAGGAGCGAGGTGGATAGCAAGCAACTCACCCAGTATACACCTTCGGAGGTGTAGCTGTCATCGGGACAGAGGTCTTGGAAGAGGGGGTGTTCAGTGTGGAAGTCGACCTCCTTCTTGCCAGACGGCAGCTGTTGGCTGTCGTCGAGGTCTGGAGGGAATGACATGGTGTGGGTGCAAGTAGAAGAGAAAAGAAGAGGAGGAGAGGAGGAGAGGGAGGATGGGAAGAGTAAAGAGGAGGGGGCAGGAGGAGGAAGGTGTGTCGCTGATGCCTTTGTTTGGCCTTTGGTGAACCCGGAGAGGCTTGCTGCTCGATGCTCGAGTGATCGAGTGATCGAGTGTGAATGGGAGTGAATGAGAAAGGCAGCGACTCGCGAGCTTTTTGTGCGTCCGGTATGAGGCACTGCGGAGCGCTCCGCAAGTGGCCTGCCTACAGACGCAGGCTACAGGTCGTACAAAGCGCATGCATCTCTGCGCCTGGTAGCCTCGTCGCCTGCCGCCTGCCCAGCAGCTCAGCTGCTCAGCAGCCCATGCAGCCCACATGCCACTTTTGCATTCTTCGTTTGGAATGCCAGGTAATCTCCGTGGCCGTGGACGCCATACCCCGCCGCTCATTGGCTGTGCACATCAAACGTGCATGGTGCCTGGCGAGCGACGCGCATGCCAAGCCCTCCCGAGCCCACAATTACACCTGCAGAAGAACGCCCCAATGTCTTGGGCCTTGGGTCCCTCCGCCTCACGATCTTGCGGCGCGAGTCTTGGCAGGATGCTGCTGGATCGGCTGGATCGCTGGATCGCTGGATTGCTGGATCGTCTCACACGACCTCACGCTCACACGAGCAGTCACACGAGCAGCCCCGAGCCAGCCGTGTGGGTGGGTGCTAGCTGGGTGGTAGGCGGGGCCTGGGCTGGGTGGATGATGATCATGGAAGAGGAGCATCGAGCCGAGATTGATGCCGACGCACGTTCGTGGATGGAGACGTGCAGCGTGGCAGACGACGCGGCCGCAGCTTAAGAGAGAGAGAGACGCGTCCCTTTGCTCCGTTGCTCCTTTGGATCCTTTGGATCCTTTGGAATCGACAAGCGGCGTTTGGAAGAGCATTTTTGGCCATCCACCAAACTCCTACATGGTCAGATCTAAATAAAGAATCTACCGGGCCGTACCCTGTGCCTAGATCCTCCGTGACGTCAGGGTCAGGTGCCGGTCTGCCGAGCGTGCCGAGCGCTTAAGCGTTTAGCAATATACAGTAGCAATAGGAAAGATTCAAATCAAGCTATCAAGGCTATACTCGTAGCTGCTCCTAGATCCTGTCTACAAATACATGAATATACCATCCAAATATCCAAATCACATATACCCTTGACGCCACCCGGCCACCCGACCACCCGGCCATGGCCAGCCACCCGATCCCACAATCAAGGAGATATTCTCAAGATCTCAAGAGCAAATGCCGTATCCCAATATTCCAACATTCCAATATCATAGTATTCCAATATTCCAAACACAACTCACTCTCATCACCACCTCTCCATTCTGAGCTCATATCGATCATATCCTCATCCTACCCCTCTACCCCTCTACCCCTCCACTGCTTACGGCTCCACAACTCACCGCCCAACTGGCCAATTCCAAAATCAATCCACATGCGTACATCCAGCATCCAGCATCCAGCCTCTGCTCGCATGTGCTCGACAGTAGCGTTCTACTTTTGGCCCCTCTCTTCTTCCCTTCTTCAGATTCCATATCTACCCCCATGTCCGTGTGTCATGTCTCATCGCGAGCACACCCACATGCACACCAACTAACCACTCATCTGCTCCCCCCCTCCGCTCACAGCCCTCACAGCCCTCACAGCCCTCACAGGCCTCACCACCCTCACGCCCCTCAGTCATACGCAATCACATTCACCAGCGTGCCTAGGGTTAGTCATGATCGCCGACGTCAACCCCCCTCGCCTCCGTCGTCTCCACACTTCAAACGTGCTCAAGTGCTCGGCTCCATCTTATCCCGTGACTCACCGATTCCGTGCGAGATCGTGCACCGCACCTCGTCGCCATCCCGCAGCCATGACCCACGGCTCGCCCCAATCCCTGGCGGCGTTCCCGTGATAATCACTGTGCCCGCCGGCAACGTCGTACCCTGCGATAGGTAGGCTACGATTCTGGGCGTGAGCTGCGCACCAAAGTGCGGCGGCACATGAACCAAGCTGCCCAACTCCGACCTGCGTCGACTCACTCAGAAACGTGCCAGATCATGTTGGCAGCGCTCCCCGACTGGACGAGCTGTCCGTTGACACGCGTTTGGAGCGTCACTTCCCGCGGATCCGGCAACGCCGCAGCCGACACGAGCACAGGTCCGAGCGGGCAGAACTTGTCAAAACCTAGGTTAGCTCGGCTACGTGGTATTCGCACCTTTCGAGAAGCCCCACTGCGACGCCTGTTTTTGCAGCTCACGCGCAGTTAGGTCGTTCGCACATGTCCAGCCGAGCACATACTGCGTCGCTTCGGCCGCCCTCACGTTTCGACACGGGCGGCTAATGATGATCGCAAGTTCGACTTCGTAGTCGAGCTCGTTGTTCTGTGCACATGGCGGTACGGGGATCGTCTCGCCGGGATCTGCGAGACACTCCCCGGGCTTGAAGAACAGCTCCGGGACTTTGGGGATCGGCATATTGAGCTCGCGCGCGTGATCCGTGTAGTTGAGTCCAGTCGCGCGAATGGTGCCACACTCGGAAGGCGAGATGGGGGCCAGAAGCTAGCGCGTGGCGCGCGCGTGAGTGTGTGAAGCAGTCCGCGGAGGCATGGCAGAGCCCCGGCGCCCGCGGAGTAAGCGATGGACGACCGCAGTTCAAAGAACGGCAGCGTGCGTGAATCGAACGAGGGGCGTGGTAAATGAGAGTGATGGGTGAGCAGTGCGCGCGGGCGTGGCAGGGCGCAAGCGCGGCAGTCGAGAACATGGGGCGTGAGAGACAGGGGTAGCGTCAGCATTTGGCGCTTGAATGAATGATGTAGGAGAGCTCACCTGCGCAACTACAGCCTTCTCCCCGGTCCGTGCCGCAGTGGGATCCCACGCACACGAGGCGACAATAACGTGCGCGACGACGGCGAGGCCTTTGGCTACCGCGAGACCGACGTCGAGCGCCTCGTCAACTGGCTCTCCGAACAGCTCGCGCCCGTCTGGCGTCTTGAAGCGGATGAGGCGGCGCCAGGGCTGAGGTAAGTGGGGCCGAGCTTGGGAGAGAGGAAAGCAGGTAAGGAGTTTTAACGGTAGAGAAGCTCGTCTGGCAGCGAAAGACTTACCACGTTGACTGAGGAAGATGGGAGGTGGCCATTACGGATGGGTGGGGAAGTCCCATTCACCAGGTGGACGCCGTTAGTGAGTGGGGTTGGAGACTGAAGGAGGACGGGCATGGTGGTTGAGAGGAGGAGTGAGATCAATTGTGATCGTGGAGAGAGAGAGAAAGAGATCAAAGAGAGAACGAGAAAAATACGATCTTGTAGTGCGAGGTGAGAACTGTGGAGCGACGATCAATCCACCGCGCATCGCCACCCGCGCCCTCCTCCTCACACTCCTCCCTCGGTCCCGGGCGTCGTCCCCCCTCTCTCGATCCCCACGCACCTCCCGACCCGAGTCGCTTCCCGATGCTTACCAGTGGTCAGCGCTAGTGCGCCGAGATGGTTATACCAGCTGAACTGATCGTATCTGGGTTTTTGGATGGAGCTCAGTGACCTGCAGTACAGAGCCTCTTCTTGATACCGTTTGGCTGCTTGTCTGTCGGGCACATGCCGGGCGCCTATGCCCCTGCTAGAGCCTGGCAGCGCCTCCCGCCCCCACCCACGCCCCGCACCCCGTCCTCCTTCCCACCCCACCCCCGCTTCCCACATCACCGAACCCGCCGGTAATGCCATCGGCCTCGGCTTCCTCTTTCAACCCGATCCTTCTCCGGCTTCGGAAATCATCGACCTCTGCCCATTTCGGCGCACTTCTAGCCTGCATCTCCGCGCTTCCTGTCCACATCTTCATCTTCCTGCTAGCCCAGTCTGCTCAATCCCATCTTCCAGCTCACGCCAAGCCTGGTTGTTCTCGTCTTTCCTCGTCCACATTGTCCAGAAATCACTGGGCACCAAGTCAACCTGGCGTTACTTCTGACAAGCCCCTCCGAGCCACCGGCGATCGGCGCCCGGACGCCGAAGGATCCTCGGCGATAGCGTTCTCCCATTTCAAACTTTCCCGACAGTTCGACAATCGACTATGGCCCGACTCCCCGAGCCGATGTTCCCACGGCCATTCTCCGCACTGCCCCTTCACAGCTCGCGAACTGGCGCACGACGCTGTGCTCTAAAGATGCATGCCGTGCTCACTACTTAGTCCGCCTTGTCCTTGTACCTCCCCGACTGCGAGTTGCGTCGGCTTCCACCGCGGCTCGAGTTGAGCGACACGCGCGTGAGCAACTTGCCCGACTCAGCGTCGCTGTCGTCGCTATCGTCCCCCATTGCAAACACGACATTGTCGTCGTTCGTGTGCGGCGCGTATCCCGAGCGAGAGGCTGAGCCTGAGCCGGAGCCTGAGCCCGGAACGCGGTACCCCTCGCCGCCCGAGCCAGGGCGTGATCCACGAGGGCTGTCCCGTTCTGCAGCATCGGCGTCGAAGAGGCGTTCGCGCTCGTGCTCGTCACCGCTGTGACGCTCGCCGTGGACGTGTTCTCTCCCGTCATGCGGCAGCAGACCAGGGAGTGCAAGCCCCTCGTCACGCCTGTCGAGGCCCGGGAAAACCGACCCGCCAGACTGTACGGCGTCGGGGTCGTGTGGGCCAAGTTCGTAGTCTTCCGCGTCTTCTTCGTCCTGGGCGAGTTCCTGGGACATTGCGAAGCGGACGTTGTTCTCAGTCGGCCGCCAGAGCCAGGCGATCGCCACAAAAGCCGAGAGGTAGATGAGCGAGAGCGAGGCGTCCAGCAGAATCCATCGCCAGCGCCAGTTGCGTGGAGCGTAGTCCTCGTCCAGTCGATTAGACAATGAGATTGACGAAAGGACGAAGAATGCCGCGACAGCAATCACCGCAATGACCAGGATGCGATACAGACTCTGGAACATGGAGAGCTTGAAGTTCTGCTTTCGCTGCTGAAGATGCAAGATCGTGCCGTTCAAACTGACAATGATCCACATCAGGAAGGCCGTGAGCGTGAACGAGAGCGGGAAAATCATGAGCAGCACAATGATAATGCTGGCCGACTGGGATCAGCGGACCCAAGTAAGAGACTCACGTCTAGTTCGACCTTGACCGTGCCAATCGCATACGTGACGCCAAAGATGAAGTGGAAGGCGGTGAGAAGCCATACGCGCATCATTACCGGGCCGAGGGACGGGGTGACGACGCTCAAGCCCATAGCAACAATAAGGAGGAGGAAGAACGACAGCGAATTGCGTGCAGCGTTCAAAATCGAGATGACAATGAGGAACGCAATCGATCCTGCTCCGCCGCCGTGCTTGTTGATGTACCGGTAGTACGTAAACAACGCAATCATCTCAATGACGAGGAAGACGATCGTCCCCGAGATGTAGTACTGCATCGGCAGCAGCTCTTGGTAGTGTTTGGCGCAGAGAATGCCCCACCCGATTGCGAGGACAATGTAGACCACCGAAAGCACGCCGTAAAATGCAATTTTGGGATACTCGACGGCAGGAAGCTCACCGTCGAATTGGTTCCGGAATGTGATGACGCCCTCGTACTCAGCGTGAATGTTCTTGCGCACCTCAAGGTCACGGCGATCCTTGGTAACAAGAGTGACCGGAATGACGGCGACGCAGTAGTAGCCGGTCTTGGGAACATCCATGCGGATCGGCTTCGTGTAGACCGGGACGTCACTGCCAACCTCGACGCCGTCACCACTGTTGGTGGGCGGAATAGCGTTGGTTCCTCCCTGGCCATGCGAGCTGCCATCTGATGAACCCTCGGCCGGGGAACCGACGGTCGACCCGGACTCGCCCTGCGCCGGCGAGTTACCTGCTGATTCCGACTCGTCGGTAGGCGGGCTCTCAGCAGGCTGGCCAGTGTAGGTCTCGGGCTCAGCGACGTCGTCGACTTCCTCGTCATCCTGACGGCGAGTATTCTTGCTGTCGCCCTTGCCCTCTTCAGCCTCGACGCCCGCGGCAGGAGCGGCATCACCGCCCGTGCCCCCGACTGCGGCATTTTGGGGGTCGAAGCGCAGCGCGGAGGTGTAAATGGAGGTGTCCTTCAGCTCCTTGCCCTCAGGCAATGTGGTAAGGAAGGTACCCAACTGCGCAGTGGTACATATCCCGGCGCGTACTTCTGTTAGCATCGTCACACAGCTGAGCAGCGGATCTCACCTGTTGTCGTGGTGCAGATATATGTTTTCTGAATGTCAGCTTCTGTGCACGCCCCCTCGGAGGACGCACTGGCTGCCAGCTCCCGTCATCAGGCGGCTGCCGGCCGATATACTCCGAGTCCGAGTACTCATACATGACGAGCGCGACTTGGCCAACGGCGTGCTCGTCAAACGCGACTGGTATCAGCTACCGCTCATACCCTGCGGACTCACGCTCAACGTATGCCTTGTTGCCGCCGAACATTCCCGAGCAAACCTCTCGGAAGCTGTCCGTATCCTTGATTGCCACTGTAATTAGCTTGACCCGGCAGGCAGAGCTGCACCTCGATATGCCATGGCCGGCAGCGAGCCTACGAGGCCCACGAGGGCGGCGACTGAGCCAAACCGCATGGCGGTGGGACCGTCAGTGGGGGGAGGCGAGAATGCGCGAAGCCTGTAGTCGGTGCGGGCGAGCTGGCGATAGACTGCTCAGCTGTGCCGATGACTTATCTCGGAGACGAGGAACCGATGTGGAGAACGTGTAGAGTGACGGGGAGGAAGATAGCGGTAGCATCAACGTTCCCGGCGGTTGGGCAATTGAATAGTACCGCGTCGCCACGCAGCCGTAGTAGCCACGTGGGTGATGCGCAAAAGTGCTTCCATCCTTCCACCTCTATGAATCGAACCGTTTCGTAAGACCTCCACCTAGATAGCGCCGACGCGCGTCGTGATGGAGATTTGGTGATCCGGAGGGCCAGACTTGAGGTTGCGGTTGATAGGAGGTCCAAGATATTAGCTGTGCGCTTGTCACAACAGCAAGAGCGTACTTGAGCATTGATCAGGAGTGGACGAGTTGTGAATGAGCGAGATCCAACTTGGGGGCGGGTTTCCAGCACCGAGTTGCCAAATTGCCACCCACTTGGACTCGGCCGCGATCAGCCGACCGCAAGCCGTATTTTGGCTTTCTCCGATCTGACCATCTTCGTCCTCAACATCCATCTTTAAATCGTCTCGTGTCCTCTAAAATGTCCGGCAACGACCTCCAGGCTGCCGCCGCAGCCCTCGCCGCCGCGACCAGTCCGTCAGCGTCCACTGCACCGTCCTCGGTCGACGACATCACGCCTTTCCCTTCGCCCATGCTGTCTCCGCAGTCCATGGCCGGCCTCTCGCGTGAGTCACTCGCTCAGGAGCTCGAGCTGGAGCTGCACCGCTCTTTCCAGCTCTCGGCTTCTTTTCTCCCGTCATGCCTGCCAGATCCACTGCTGGGGAATGTAACGCTCACATTAGTCTCCTCGGACGGCGAGCTGGAACACGAGTTCGATGAGCTGCGCGAAGTCACCGACGAGGACCGGGCCGCTGCGCTCGAGCTCAAGGCCCAGGCGAATAAGGCATATGGAGCTAAAGACTTTGCTCAATCGATCGACCTCTACACACAGGCTATCAAGCTCAACCCACACGACCCCGTCTTTTGGAACAACCGCGCCATGTCCAAGGCAAAGATGGAGGAGCACGGCGCCGCCATCGCCGACGCCACTAAGGCCATCGAACTCAAACCTGACTACGCCAAGGCGTACTACCGCCGCGGCGTGAGCTCCCTCGCTGTCGTCCGCCCCAAAGACGCAGTGCCCGATTTCAAGAAGGCCCTCGAGATCGAGCCCTCTAACCGCGTCGTCCGCGAGCAGCTCAACGCTACCGTCAAGCTCATCAGGAGAATAGAGTTTGAGAAAGTGCGTATCACTCCAGTCTTGCTGGTTGAATGGGTGGCAAACGCTATGGGCAGGCCCCCGGATCCCCGCAGGCATGCATCGCTCGCCGCTCCTTCTCTCGCGCACAGACCCTAACACCAGGCCATCTCTGTCGGCGAGACTGAGACCGCGTCGCAGAGGTGTTTGACCGCTATCGCGCAAGGCGCCTGCCACCTCGACCGCTCCAAGGAAGAAGCGGAGGGAATTCCGCTCCCTATCATCCCGGACGACCCCACGGGGCGATACACTCCTACCAAGGAGTTCGTCGAGAGCATGATCGAGACATTTAAGAATGGTGGCAAGATGCCCAAGCGTGTCGTTTGGGAGATTGTTCTCGGCGTCAAGGCCATCGTGGACAAGGAGTCGAGCTTGGTAGAGGTCACCGTGCCGGAAGGCGTGTCATGTGACATTGTTGGTGACAGTGAGTCAAGTATCGGCGCGCATGTTACTGACCCCAGCACACGGCCAGTTCTATGACGTGCACAATCTCCTCACAATCATTAAGCCGCCCTCAGAGAATCACATGATCGTCTTCAACGGTAAGTGTGGACTAGCGCTCGCTTCGAGTCTGCATTACGCGGCGCGAAGTTGGCGCAAAATCGATCTGCGTACATGTGCGCCATACGTGCGCCCAGTTGGCCAGGCGGCATGCGGAAGCGGCGGCCAAGCAGGTGTTTGGCTGAGCTGGATAACACAAACCGCGACAACATCACTGACCTACAGGCGACTTTGTCGACCGAGGCTCGTGGTCTATTGAGGTTGTCCTCACACTGTTTGCCTACAAGTGGCTGTACCCTGAGCGCGTGTTCCTCAACCGCGGAAATCATGAGACAAACGGTGTGTATCTCCTTTGCGCAGTCTTCCTGACAGCAGACATGAACAAGGTCTATGGCTTCGAGGGAGAGTGCAAGGCCAAGCATGGCGAGATGACGTACCAGCTGTTTGCAGACGTATTCACTGCTCGTGAGTCAGCGATGGCCAACTTGAGCTCACGATAGTTCCGCTGGCGACTTTGTTGAGCGCGGGTCTGCCGCCATCGAGCCTCAAGTCGGAAGGTTCCCAGCCCGCCATTCTTGGACCGGACGGTCACAAGCGCTACTTCGTCGTACATGGCGGTCCTCCCGTCAGCAAGGACGGGGTGTTGTTGGAGGAGATTGCTGCCATTGACCGCTACGGCCGCCAGCCCGGCCAGGAAGGTTTGATGTGCGAGCTTCTCTGGACCGACCCCCAAGACATGCCTGGTCGTGGTCCGTCGAAGCGAGGAGTTGGTCTCGGCTTCGGACCTGACGTGACGAGGAGGTGGTGCGAGCTGAACAAGATCACTGCCGTGATCCGATCGCACGAGGTACGGCAGAATGGGTACGCCATTGAGCACGACGGGCTGTGCATCACGACGTTCTCTTGCCCCAACTACTGCGACTCGACTGGCAACCAGGTGAGTTTTGTGCAACGACTCAACAAGCCGAGCGGAGCCTTTTCGGTGCGGAAAGGGTTGCATCATCCAGGCCAGGCAGTTGAGGATCTGCGGCATGTGGCGTCGCATCGCAACTGCATCGAATATCCGGATCCGTACTGTCAACAATGACGCTAACGGCAGGCGGCGTATGTGCACATGGAGGCGGACGGGCAGCTGTCATACCACCAGTTTTCGGCTGTGCCGCACCCGGACATGCGGCCGATGGCGTACAGCTCCGGCTTCAACATGATGGGACTGTAGTGATCGTATGCATCTGGCAGTGGTGGTTCTTCACACGGAGTGTTAAGCCCGGGACGGGCATGGTTGGGCGTGGAGCATGGTCGTAGCGTGGTGTTCTCGGTCAACAATTTCCGTTGTCGGTCATGACTGAGCGCGCACGGCCTCGAGGATGCCATCCCCGGCGGCCCAAGGCGCCAAGTGACGGCGGAAGCCCTCGCTTCCCGTCGCTCGTTCCAATAGTATGCTTAACTGCTGGCGCAAGCGAGGAACATTGTGCCTGGGCAACTCGGACGCATCTGCACCTCTTGGCATTGTCAGAGTCATCGATGCGGCTCTTCTCTGGTTCCACCTAGCCTCGACTCAATTCACAATTCTACTCAAGCCTATTAACGCTTGGGGAGGGCATGCCCCGCGCGCGCTGGTGCCCACCCTTGATTGCGTATGCCGCCGGAAAATTTCGACTCTAGGCGAGCAATGGCGCGAGCAATTGAGCTCTCGCGCACTTTCCCAGTTCTCGCACATCCGCAGGCAAGGCTGTGCACCGCGCTGATCACCGAGGATCCAAGCGTATGCATAGTGACGGCCGCTGGGCGATCTTGTTGGTTGGCTCGCACGGCTAGGTGCTTTGGCCGACGGCCTGGCCGCTGGCTGGCATGCTGGGTGCTGCGCCGACGTAGTTGGAGGCGGTGGATCAGATCAGGGGCCGGGATCCGACGTCAGAGGCGACCATTGTTGACGCTATATTATCGCATGAAGACATCTTCATATCCGCCTCGACAACACTCCCTCTCTCGGTGGCACTACTCTCACGCTCGCTCGCTCCTGTATCTGTTCTGTAGCCCACCATGCTCGGCGCAGCACTCCACCTCCTGGCCCGCCAGGACCCCTCCATGCTTCCGCCGGACCAGCGGCCGACATCGCTCACCGAGTCACCGTACGGATACGTCCCCGCGCTCCCCAACGTCATCGCGTACCTCGCCGTGTTCTCCCTCCTCACGCTCACCCACCTCGGCCTCGGAATCAAGTACAAATACTATTCTGCGATCGTGACCATGGTGGCGGGCGGCCTCCTCGAGGTCATCGGCTGGGCGGGCCGCCTCTGGTCTAACCAGAGCCTCCTCAACTGGAACCCCTTCATCATGCAGATCTGTTGGTGAGTCATACCACGAGTTGGCGACGGCGTCGCGGCATGAATTGCCGTCTATTCTTGGAGCGGTACCGCCTCCAAGCCTCTCTCGGATCCGCACCTCACACGTGCCTGCGACAACCACCTATCTCACATGATCGTTCCATGGCCGCTTAGCTAACCCCAGCCTTATCCTCGGCCCCGTATTCTTCTCGGCGTGGGACTACACCATCCTCGGATTCTGCATCAAAGTTCTGGGGCCGCAGTACTCCCTGATCGGTCCGAACTGGTACCTCATCATCTTTATCATCGCGGATATCATCTCGCTCGTACTCCAAGCGGTCGGCGGCGGCGGCGCCGCCGTCCAAGCCCAAAGGTTCGAAGACACAACCTCGAACACACGCATCAGTGAGCCGCCCCTCCGCCCCCGCTAACTCAGTGCTCGCCGGCATCCTGTTCCAGCTCGGCACCACCACCATCTTCCTGATCCTCGCCGCCGACTTCATGTGGCGCGTCGTGGCCCGCAAGCCATACTCGGACGCCACGCGCCGCCGCTTCGCCTTCTCCTGCTTCAAGCGCAAAAAGGCTTCGGCACCCGGGTCGCCCAACCTCGCCCTCGAGAAGGCGGATGACCTCGACCCCAAGTGGATCCGCAGGTCGCAGTACCTCCTCCTCGGCGTGGCGTGGGCGTCCGTCATGATCTACATCCGTGGCATTTATCGCTCGATCGAGCTCGCGCAGGGATGGACGGGCCATCTCATGACCAACGAAGTCTACTTCGTCTGGCTCGACGGCTTCATGATGGTCCTCTGCATGGCGGGGCTGGCTGTCGCCCACCCCGGCTTCCTCCTCCCCGCCAGTGGGTGGTCCTAAGCTAGAGAGAGAGAACGGAAAGTATATCATAGATTTAGATGCGGCTGTACAGTAGCTAGAAGCTGGAAGATTGATTTCGTGATATGTGCAGCCGGCTGGGCGGTTTTTCCGGGTGCGAAACTCACTCTCTAAACTCAAAGCCTGAACGCGAACGTTTTCGCACTGCAAGCTACCTTGGGCAGGCGCTTGGTTCCTCTCCTGTTGTGAGATTAGTTTCAGGCTTCGGCTGAACATGGTCTGATCAACATCCCATTATTCGTCAACTGCTGAACGGGTGAGAAGGAAACGAGAACAATAACGACAATAGCGTGCAATTTTCCTGAGCGCCCGAGCCTGCGAGCCCGAGTTCCTTCAACCCCCATGAACTGATGAACGGCGCATCATGTAAGAAGCGGTAGGATTGATGAGCATGGCAATGAAAAGGTGCAGAAAGCTGAAACACAGGACTGTGCTCTGGGCGCACGGATACCGGACTTTTGTCTCGTTGGAGCTCAGACGGGTGCATGCACCCGTAGCCTACTCTGCCACGGTCACATGTGCGCCGCAGTGTTATCGCCAGATTCCATGCAGCGGGCAATATCCGGCTGACAAGCGGCCTGACTAGATCAATAACGGACCGTGCGAGTCCGCAGAGAGTAGCACACAGATGAGTGCCCTATGCGTCGCAAATGAAATGCGGCAGCCGACTGCTCTCCAAGCGCGAGGCATAGTGCATAGCTGGCTGTTCAGTCAGAGGAGATGAGCTGCATGGTGAAAGATGCTGACCCCTCTGCTGAACCCGCGCGAGCAGGCGGTTCCATTTCTCCAACGGCTTATCAGGAGAACGCCGCCATCAACAAATGACCAACACGCCCAGGCTGTGTGTCGAGGGCACATTTCTTACCTAGGCGATCGGTGATCAGCAGCCCGATGCAGGAACCGTGAAGCATGAAAAGCGTGAAAATAGTTGCTGTGCGGAATACGCAGGCGCTGGGTTGATAGTGTTAGCGCCAGACCCCGAGAATGGGCGGCTCCGATTTGTATAGGACCTGCCGCCGAAGTTTGTCTGGGCCTTGCACGCGCGGACGCCGAAGCGGA